TTGTCCGAGATCACAGCATGTGAGTGTGGAGTGGCAGACCGACTCTCATCCGCTTGCTGCCTACTTGCAGAGGTCGCCAGATCTCTTGCCACGGCATGTGCACTCTTGCCAAGCTTGGATGGAGCTGCTCCGATGTTCTCTTCAACACCAGCTGTGTGACCGCTTTGCGCTGGATTGTCAGTGGTAGAATCAGCTAGGTGTGGCAGGACAGCTTGGCGCACAATCGAGTTCGCAACCATTGACTCCGTGTTCAGATTGCTGTCATGGTGCGATTCGTCGCCACCGTGCAAGCTTGCCGGTTCAGGTGTCAAGGTGAATCCACGAGCCATCGTGGAAGCAATGGCGTCCTGAATTAAGGCTGCCATCTCCAAATCCCCAGGACTGGAGTCAGAACTGTGCGGCTCTTCTCGATAGCCACCACATCTCAATTCATGCATAAGCGGAGCAACTGCCTGCCTGGCAACAGATCGGGCTGCAATTGACTCGGTATTCGCATCAGACAGTTCATGCTGCGAAGCAGCAGACAATCTTGGCGGCCTCTGATGTGGTTCACCAGCGATCGAGACCACATCTCTCGCAATTCGAGCCACAGAACCCTCGTCTTCCGAAGCTTCGTGCTCATACTCGCCGTGGGTGATTTGCGAGCCGGCACTGCATGCACGGTCGAGTGACAACGCGGTGGACACCAAGGCCAGGGCAGGGGAGACAGCCGAAGCCTGAAGAGAAGCTTCCACGGTCTCACTCTGCCGAGATGATGGCCTCGCCACGATCTGGTAGGCCAGCTCTTGGGCAATCTCGGAGTGCAGGCCATCCTCGGGGCTCCTTGCCAGTTCCCGAGCGGAGCCGGAGTGTTTCCCACTGTCAGGCGAAGGTGTCGTCAGCTGTGTTACGAACACCTGCGCGACGACGTGGCTCACATCCGCAGAGTGCAGATCGGCAAAGTTGAGATCAAGATCGACATCAGTCCACGTTGCTGCGTCATTGCCTTCTGATTCTGCCTGTGCCACCATGATATCTGCCAAAAGAGATCTCGCAACTGCAGCTTGCACGTCAGAGCGGCAGGAGTCATCGCCAACGCTGCTAGCTTTCGATGATATCTGCATCTGCGTGGGCGTTGAAGCGCCAACTGCTTCTGAAGGAAGCAAAGCAACTATCGAGTCCCACCATTGGCCTGCAAACAGATCAGCAGGGTGCAACCGAACTCTCAGACGCGGCACAGCAATAATTCTCATCGTCACCTTGTGACTCCTCCCTTCAGCAAACATGCCAGCGGCTCCTTTCGGCAAGCGCTTCCTCTCCAGCAAGCCTCAACTTCAACATGGCTGCGCCAACATCACGGCAACTCTGTTCCAGGGCCAGTGCGCTCGCTCGCCGTGGTGAGTCTCATCTTGTCCAAACGTGGAAGTCTGGGAGCCTGCACCGAAGCATCGCAGTGGGGCCGTGCAACCAAATCAAGGTTTTTGTGAATGCACAGCCCTGCGCCTTGCGAAGCTGTCGCTTCCACATCAAGGGAACCTCTCGCTCGCGGAGACGCAACGCAGCTTGCCATGCTTACGCCGTCTTCAAAGGGCTCAACTGCTGCGTGAGACGTTAGATTTTTGGAAAGGCAGTGTGACGGCAAGCAATACACGGAATGCGTGCACCTCGGGGCAGAACTCGTCCGGTGGAGGAGCCGGTCGGCGGTGGCGAGGCCGCACGTCGGCAGCGCGAGGCCGCATGATGACAATTCGAGCTCTAACTGAAAAGGCTTTTCTGTTTTTTGCAGGGAGTGGCTCGATATGGCTCGATCCTTGAATTGCTCCAAGAAGGAGCCGTTTCGTGCATGGGCATGGGCTATCCCTTTGCACGCAGAGGGCTTTGGTGCGTAAACAGTTGCAGGCCCATGAAGGTGGTCCACGACAACACAGGACACCATTGGATGCCGTGACCGGCCAGAACAATTTTCCCATGCGCACGCCTGTACAGGAGTTGCAACTGCACATGGCATTTCAGAGAGCAGCTATCCGCCTGCGATCTGAACCAGGTCAAAATAGTCGGCTTCATCGGCTTGTATTCTAGTCCCACTTTCGGTCACGAAACAAAGCAAACGAAGCGAGTACTTGCCTGAAGCATCGTAGTACACGGACATGTCCACAGCTGTCGGTGACGGTGACCCAGCCCCTAGCGACTGGAGGCATGTCCTTTCAGAGGCCCACTGCTAACCCTTGACACCAAGTTCTGCACCGTGTGCTGGTCGCGGTCGGTGGACCGGGAAACCTCAAACCCAGGCCCAAAGATGGCATTAATGACTCGCTCAGTGCACTTTGAGCACACCTGGCCTTCCATGAGATACGTCGCTGCCGTGGATACGTCGTTGTAAGCGTAGTCCAGAGCACGCCGCACCTGCACGCCGATGATAGACAGTTCAGTTGTTGACATGGTGAGATTCTGTCTGACTGTTACCCACGCGCAACTCCTGTTTGGTAATCAAGCCAACAAACCCCCACCGAAGCGCTCAGCAACAAGTGCCTCGGCCTCCTCGAAACCCAATGCTTTCAATGCCTCGACCTGAACGCCGGGGAGACGCTTTGCACAGAGGTCCATGCTCAAGGCTGGCTCCTTTATGCATTCCAGCAGCGCCCCAGATTCTCAGAGCACATCCGCAGCTTTAGCAAGGACTTGCGGACTTGCGTGAAACGCATAAGTCGTCGAAGGAATGCCAACATGATCATCGCGGCACTCCCGCAAATCGTAATTTCCATTTCCACACCTCCAAAACACTGTGCACAGCCGCCGACGTTGTCGAAAGCAGCGGGGTTTGGAGCCGGTATCTTCAAGAAAACGTCGTCTGCTGCATCTCTGACCTGCAACCGTCAGCTGGGCATGGGCATGGTATGGGACCTTGCTCGAATGTAGTCGCCTCTCGGAAAAGATCCCCTCCGTATGGCTGCACTCCAGGATCCTGCAGAAGACAGAGTTCAACTACACGCAATCCCTACTTGAATGAAGGTGCACAGCCGTAGAGCCCATGCTCACACAAGCCGTACTGTAGGGACGTTTTCAACTCCACGAGTTCGGCCAGGACGAAGCTGCATTGCCCGATCAGTGACAGAGCTAGCTTCGATGGGCCAAATACGGTTGTGACGCGGTGATCCCAGCTAGGATGCTAATGCCGGCTTTATTTCTTTATGGAAATAGCATGAAATAAGTGTGAAACGAAAGATGTTGGGAAATTTGGAAAACATATGCTTGAATTGTGATTGGATTTGGGGATTAATATCATCAGACCAGCAACTGCATGATCTCAACTCCATTTGCGCTTTGCAAGGCACCCAAAGATAATGTAACAGATCGCCTGAAGTCAGAAGGAGGAAGCTGCTGTAAGAGAACGACTCCTAGACCACCGCGATGCCGCAACTGACTTGGGATGGGGAGCTAGGCCGAGATCCCAAGCCCTCCACCCGAAAATTGCAGCGCGACACCCCCGGGCCTAAGGCCTGACTGCCTGACTGCTCCCGGAAGCCTTTTTTGAGGTCGGGGGCAGACGCTTTGAACTGATCCTACCTAAATTCCGATGTTCCTTGTTTTCCCTAGCGTTTGCATACTTGTCCATGGTTTTCCCTACTCTTCCATACTATTTCAATATTTTTCTCTATTTTATTCATATGTTTGCTATATGTTTTCCATATCTGTTCCATATTTTTTCCGTATTGAAATATATAAACAAAATATGGGAAAAATATGACGCCAGAAGGCCCCCCTCTCCAAAAGCCCAGGCCTTTCCGCTTCCCGCCCTCCTTAACCAGTCTCCTGCCCAAGCCCAACCAGCCGGCACTGAACTCCGATGCATCCATGACGACACGAGTGAAAGAGTATCATGTTACAACAGTGTGCGACTGTGTAACTCTGTGCTTCCCACCTGTGCACATCTCGCGCCTTGGCTACAATGGTTTTTTTTTACCACCTGCTCATCAAACCGTCGAAATGAACTCCTTTACACACAGCTGCAGATGCAAGTTAAAGAGTGCCAACGGTCATATAACTTAGCAGAGTCGTCTGATAGTGGCGCATTTTCTGATTCATTTTCCATCTCTTGTAGTAAAAAGTTCAATTGTCTAGGTTACACTAGCTCCTGGCCGATGTTGGCGTCTCAAAAATACAGTTAGTGACTCACAACTTGCACGGCGTACCACGAAAGCTGGGGTAAGGAATCAGAATCAGTGAGAAAAGAAGCGCATGCTGAAGTCTGATGAAGCCTACCTTCGCGGTGCATTGTGATCGCCTTCGATATCGGCAGCGACACAAGCAAACCAACCAACATGTCGGCGGTATGTCACACTTATCTGGTCGCTGCACCTTTGGCTCCGTCCCACCTAGACTTATACATTACTGAAGGCTCTGTTGTGTGAGGAGGGGGATATTCAGCACGCGCGCGTTTCACTATGGCCTTGTCAAGGCTTTGGCCCACAAATACTGTCGATCCAAACAGCAACCTGCTAAAAGATAACAGCCACAAGCTCCGGAACAGCTAGCTTTGTCATGACAGGAGCAGCCTTGAAGTTGTTGCAGAGCTGTGCCAGATGGGCTCGAGATAAGGATCGCAAGTAGTGCTTTCCCCAGGACCTGCTCCATCACAAATCAAAAACGAGGGGTCATTGAGCGCACAGCACGCTGAGACCACCGCTCATACCAGTCCTGGCCAAAGGACGCGAGTGCTGGTGGCTGACACTCGGCTGCGGCTCTACCGGCCTGTCTCGACACGGCTTCAGCGACCTGCCCGCTGACCTGGACTGCTTAGCCAGTACAAGTTGGACCTTCAGCGCAACCGAGCAGCGGGCATCATCGACGATGCCTGCTAGACGATCGTCTTCAACTTGCAGGGGTTTTGGCTCAATCCAAGCTTCTTCCAAGTTCAAGCATGTGGCGAGAAAGAACCAGATGGCACCAGATTGCTCTCAACATCTCCGTTCCGATTTCAGAAGGAGGGAACTTGCTGGTCTCATTGACAGATCGACGGTTTCGTTGCACCCTGCCTGGACCCGAGCAGCTGCCTGCCCGTAAAATGGTGCTTACGAGGGACGATGCGAACCTGTTTTGAACTGAAGCAATGTTGCTTCTGGCTGCAGCTGTTAAGGATAGACTGACAATAGTGTACAGTTGGATGGCTTAGTTGGTTGGTACACCGTCGTCAGGGACTGCACACGAATCTTGAACTACAGCAGCTGCAGGTGAAGGCCACCATGCGCCTCGCTGTGAGCGTGAAAATGCGACGCCTTCACGGCCATGAGTTACGCGATCTAGATGTTTGTTGGAGCCCGTGCGGGTAACTTGTTGCGATGAAGCGGAGCCAGCGAAGCCAGCCAAGCCCGAAAGACTCGGAAGTTGCCTTCAGCTTGAATGCGCCGGAGTTCTTCGAGAAATGCTGAGGCCTTTTCGAAGACATACTCAGACAGCCTTCCTCGCGACAGAGCCCCCAAAGCTGAGGGCTCGACTCCCGAAGCCTCCGCGGCACCCGGGCAGCACGGAAAGGAAAACAATCAAAGGACTTTAGTTCAAATCTTGCTGGCCTCTGCATGCTCGCTTTGCAGCAGTCCGGAGAGAACCTCCACCAGCTGTAGCCGGCAGCACCTCGAGAAACCAGAGAGGGAGCTGAGTGAGAAAGCCAACTGAGCCATCTGAGCCGCTGGATTCTGCATTCTGCAGAAACAGGCATCTCCGAAGCCCACACCTCTGCCTCACAATGCAGAGAGAGAGAGAGAAAGAGAGAG